AAAAACTGGCGCGTAGTATGATTTACAATAACCGCCTTCGATCCGCCACTTCTCAGCTCGATTGAGTCCATCTCTGCTAGCTTAACTAAAAATGTGTATGTGAAAGCCACACCAAAGTTAGCTAGCAGCGAGGAACGTTGGCGAGTGTGGCTGTACCTCACTAATTTTGTTTGGTTCGCCACTCGCGAATCGAAGGCGGCCGGCCATTGTTTCCATTCGCATGAACTTTTGTAAATAAGTTATTCATTTTGCTATTTAGTATTAATTTTCTATTATACCCATTTTAGACAACAAAACCGCTTCCCGTCTATACAACATCCCCAAGGATGCTAAGGTTGAAGACTCAAACTGCGCCAATACCTCGCAATCGATCCACATTACTTGGGGTCCAGTTGATGCCGTACACTCCATGGTCTTGCAATTCGATTTGGTTAACAAATCTAGTGAATTGAAGCAGATCTACTTTACCTTGCCACTCACCAGCGATCACTTCCCCGACGCCAAGGGTATGTGGCAGCGCAATTTTTTTTAACGCTACATACTTGATTACAAATTTTCCTTTTAGATAACCAAACCATTCAGTTGATTCACACTGGCGATGATTTTATCACACCCATCAAGATGTCATACCACTGCACACGTGCACAAAAATTCAATTTGACTGAGGTAATGCAGGATACTAAGGTCATTGGCACCATCAATTTGAGCAATGTACAAACGGAGGCATTCATCACCGACAAGCGTGACACCTTCTCCAATGCCATGGATTGTGATGGACCTAAGACCATGGATATTGTGCCTATTGCCGTAGGCATTGCAATGGCTGCACTCATATTGATTGTATTGATCTCGTACTTGTGTGCGCGCCGTCGTTCCACATCGCGTGGTTATATGAGCTTCTAAGAGGGGAATATTCTGTTTAGTAGTGAAGTTTAGGCAGAGAAGCGCCGAGGAGGAAGCAAAACGAGGAGGCGTTAGTGGCAGTATGCATATTCGTAGGCATAGGTGGGCGCGTAATTTTTCAGGGGGTTTGGAGATTTATATGCGCATTGGGAAAATTTGTAAAAATTTGTTTTACTTTGAAAATTTTGTTTTCGGGAGAGAATCAGTAAAAAAGATTGAAATGCCGAGTTTTGATTTACTTTGTCACGGTGCAGGAGGGAGGAAGAAATAGTGAAAGAAACAGTTATTTAATATATTCAACTAACAAATATAGTAATACAATTGTCAAAACAAATGCAAAAAGGAAAAACAAAAACCAGCGTATAAAAATAAGCACCGTAAATAGCAATTTTATTCCAACAGACTTTTAACGAACACTTTAGAACAGGTACAACATTAACAAAAAACAGGGCGCAGTTGTTACACACCAAGTATATCACACGTGTCAATGCGTCTAGCGGTATTTTAGTTGCCGCCGCGCGAGCACTGTGGTTTAAAATTAGTTTTTCAAAAACTTTCTCTTGCTATGTATTAGTTTTTATAAGTTTTACTCTAAACGATTTGTTGCACATATCCTTTGTTAACTCGAACTTTATATTTGAAACGAATATTTTTGTTCAGAAAAAGTTAGTAACTTTCGTTGCTAATCTTATTCAAACGCCTTCTTTCTTATATACATTTGCATGTATGGACACGTATAAATGCATCCATAAATAAATTTTTTTTTTTTATAGCCCTACAATAAATGCAATAGCCTAGAACCCGAATAAAAAATTATGTCTTACACAAAAACGTTCATCGATCAAACAACAAATGTATATTTATCAGTAAAAAAATACAGCATATTGTAAAGTAAACAAAAAAATCAATAGTATTTATAATTACTTACTGCTATACTTTAAAATAAACGATTCTATTATTCTTTATACACATGCATACACATACTTTAATTTATATCCAATTGGCTAAACATTATCTCTAATTAACTACTTCCATGTAATATTTGAAGTATGTATAAGATATTTTGATTTCAATATACATTACATATATATAAATACGATAAATAGTTTCCATTGCATCTGGTTGCATATCGTTTTATATACAAAATTTTATACGCCTGAGTAAAAAGGATACAATTTATGAAAATTATATTTAAAATTAGGTACTTGGTTTGTAATTCGATTCAATTTTTCATTATAAAAACTTGGCCTTAAATAAAGTGAGGTAACTGAGAAAAATAATTCAATTTTTAATTAATTTCACACATAGATTGTCGAAAATTATTTGGCCACCATAGCTGATTAGTTAAAAGTATGCATCCAATCCGTTCGGTTATCAAATCAGAAATAATTACAGCAACCTTTCTTTACCTTAATATATGTGCATATACACAGACAGAACCACACGCCGCCGCCAACAACTCTTAGTGCCTCCGACAATCTGCACGGAATGTCAGTCCAGCATACTCCGTAACGTGACATCAGTCAAGTGCAACACTTGCCTTGGCTGGTGTCACTTTAGGGCATGTTAAGAAATGCACACCACGCGAGATTGGACGAGCGTTTGCTGTGCTGCTCGGTCGCAAGTGCCAACTGCGATGCCGCCCACTACCACAGCAGGGCAACTGCCTTCACAGCAGCACGCACAGCAAGTGGCTGGCAGGCAACACACCTCATTAACATCTCACATTCCAATAAGTCTCCCTAGGCACACGAACATCCTACAATTTAACTGTAAAGAACTTCAGAGCAAGATCGAGGAATTAACCGTCTTCATGGGTCGGCACGGAATATTAATAGCTGCGGTCCAAGAGACAAAGCTGCATGGCATTTTAACATTGTTGAATTTGCGTCGGATACAACGAGCACCGTCGAGATCGCGAGCGAGATAATGGTGGTGCCCTAGCGTTCATCACGCACCACACTGTACAGTAATGTCTTATCGAAGCAGAAATCGACCGCAGGGATACCATCCTAGAATGTCAGGGTGTTGCTATTCGGTCAGGCGATGTCGAGATCGAAGTATTTAACGTATATTTATATATCCCTGTCACCAGCTGCCCGGCGGGTTATCACCCTGAAATAGGTGCGCACCTCAGAGGTGGCATTCAAGCCTGTCAAACAATCGTAGGGGAATACAATTTGCTGGGCAGATAGACGATTCGATATTCTTTCGACAATGAACGACAACGCTTTCAGCAGGATTATGGGCAGCTGCTGCAGCTCGCCAGACCTAACAAAAGTCAGCGCTGGTCTGATAAACAGCATATCATGGCGACCTATGCTGACCTTCGTATAAACCAGCCGTCTTTGTTTCCGCGGATCACCGGACCTATGTCAACTTCTCCAAAGCTGACTGGAAAGGCTTCGCGGATGTTACTGAAAGCACCTTCACTGCCATACCCACACCAACCGACGTTCGCGTAGGTGAGCGTAAGTTCCGCAGTGTTGTCACTGTTGCTGCAGCCCGCTTCATTCCAGCAGGAAGCATTTCGGACCACCGTCCGAATTTTCCTGCCGAAGCGGCTGTCCTAGTCGATGAGCGTGACAACCTTCGTCAGGCCGATCCCAGATATCCCCGTATCAGGGATCTCAATTCGGAGATTCGGCAACTAGTGAACGTACAGTATCGGTCATATCTAAAGCACGCCATTTCAAAGTGATATTGTGTGTCACTTATGTTTATTTATTTATTTTTAAGAATTTTCAATTAAAATATAGGTTTTTCACTAACAAAACCCATATAAACCCAAGTTTAACAATTTGTAGAATACTACAAAAAAGTGCAACAAATTTTCATTTAAATTTCAAACTTTTTTCTCGGAAGTGTTAGAATTTTTCTGAATACACAGTTTTATAGCCCAATCAATTTTAGTCTGATAATGTGCAAGTTTCAAGTGGCTAAAGATTACCGTTGATTTTTTAGAATTTTTTTCGCCAAAGGTGTTGCGGTTTTCTTCCATATACAAATAAATTGAGTTTATTCATTACATGGAAGCCAATGCGACAAAAAAAATTCTAAAAAATTAACGGTAATTCGTAGCCACTTGAAATTTGCACATTATCAGACTAAAATTGCAGGGGCTAAAAAACTGTGTACTCAAAAAAATTCTAACACTTCCGAGAAAAAGTTTGAAATTTAGGTGAAATTTTGTTGCACTTTTTTGAAGTTTTCTACAAATGGGTATATATGGGGTTTGTCTGAGAATGAGCTAAATTTTAATTGAAAATTCTTAAAAATAAATAAATAAACATAAGTGGCACACAATATCACTTTGAAATGGCGTGCTATAGATATGACCGATACTATATATAAGCGGAAGAAGTGGGAAAAGCATCTGAAGACCTGTAACTTTGCCTCTGGTGTGAGCAAGCTCTGGTCAACCGTGAGGTCATTATCCAACCCGAAGAAGCGTGACGACAGTTGAAATAAATATTGGCTACCACGTTTAGTCGGACCCGGAGCGAAGCGCGAGCTATTTTAGCCGACTGTTCATACTGCATCCTCCGGTGGACAAAGCCCAACGTCGAGTGACTAGAAGGCTGCACAAACCGCCAACACCTTGTGTAGAGGTAAGGGTAGCCATTGAGAAGGCGCAAGCCTCTAAGGCCATTGGACCCAACCTGTCAATGGCCACTCATCATTCCAGATATCTAGAATGGAAAATGGGGAGAGGTCCCACTGCTTAAAACGCGGAAACGGTCCAACAAAGGAGAGTCCTATCACCCGATAACTTTCCTTTCTCCGGTAGCGAAGGCACTAGAGACCTTTCGACTCCCGCACTATACAAACCACCTGACCCCAGCGAGGCATTATCAGGTTCCGTAAAGTGCGCAGCACAACAACAGCACTTAACGCTATAAATACTCAGATAACTCGTGGCCATAACCGAAATCGCCCCGGTGAGAGAACCCTTTTAGTAGCGTTGGACCTGTCCAAGGTGTTCGACATCACGGGGCTCAAACAGTGATCGGCGAATTAATTGAGTGGTCGTTACTCGTCAGTAACCTTTAGAGACAAATCGAGCAAACCTAGAAAAATAAAACCGGGGGTTCCCCAGGGTGGTGTCCTTTCCCCACTACTGTTTAACTTTTACATTTCTAAGCTCCCTCAGCCCCCAGAGGCAGTCCCGATTGCCTCTTATGCTCAAAAGTAGACGGTTATCTCACCGAGCTTTCCCGCTTCTTCGCAGCACGGAGCCTAAACTCCCTACAAAATCCTCAGCAACCACTTGCACGAAGGAGGTCAGACTGCAACTGGGTATTCACGTCGATGACGCACTAATTCCGACGGCGATCAACCCGAAGATCCTCGGAGTGACCTTCGACAGTCTGCTCCCCTCCTTAGCGCATACAACCGCAATTGTCAACAAAGTACAGAGCCGCAACAAGGTCCTCAAGTCGCTAGCCGGCAATACCTGGGGCAAAGACAAAGAAACGTTGCTGGCAACATACAGGGCAATTGGCTAGCTGGTTCTAAATTACGCAGCACCACTGTGTTCGCCAGGGACCTGTAGGACGCAGTGGATTAAGCTACATACTGCACAAAACACCAGACTACGGAAGGCCTTCTGCTGTCGCCAGAACACCACCTACACGACGAGGCGAAAATGCTCCCCATATAGCGGCATTCACAGGGAGTCAGTCTCAAGTTACGTACACTCCAGACGTGTGAATAGAAGGCTGGATGCGGCTAAAACCGACCATCTTTATTGGTCACAAGGAACAAGCGCGTGGAAGACAACGTGAGAACTGAAAAGCCTGCTAAAGAAGGCGTTTCCTAAGATTCGGGCATACCAATTCTTGTTCAGAAAATCTACTTATGTACCGCCAGATGCATAAGACGTGATAAGAAACTTAATGATTTCCTGCTATTAAAAAGAAGAACATACTTTTATTCTTACAGAGCATAGTAGCTTATGCGCTTAAACTAGGTCATATAGATGCCAAAGAGTATAATTATTACAAGAACATTTTGAAACATTTCAGCTGAAAATATATTGAAAATATGTTTAGATAGGCCGTTTTGAACCGAATGTTATAATAGGTCGTTCTTTAATCATATTCTAAGAAAGGGCGTTCTTGAAAAGTTAGGTATGCAAAACAATCACTAGGCTTCTGTTGCTTTTTCCGGGCGTAAAAAAACGCATGGAATTTTACAAAGTTACCCATTGCGACAACACAACATTTCAATTGACTGACATTTCATAGCCTCAGCGT